TGTCTTAACTGTTATACTTTTAAAGGGAATACAAATGTTCCTTATGCTTTCTAAAAAAAAAAAAAAAAAAGGATAAACAACAATTATCAATTTTCTGTTTTATTTTTTTACAAGAAGTGATTGCAAGAGGGCGGGTGAAGTCTGCCAGTGATCTTGTTCTCATGTACCAGCTCTGGTATTGAACATAGTTTACATCTTCTACAGTGATTTGCCATTGTTTCCATCTTAACATCTGAAGGCTGCACTATCTCAGAAGACCACAACCCAAAGAACTGTAGAATTTTCTCTGTGTTGACATATCTTCCATGTTCTCTATTTTATTTTATTTTATTTTATTTTATTTTATTTTATTTTATTTTATTTTATTTTATTTTATTTTATTTATTTATTTATTTTATTTTATTTATTTATTTTATTTTATTTTATTTTATTTTATTTTATTTTATTTTATTTTATTTTATTTTATTTTATTTATTTATTTTTATGTTTACAATGCTTTTATTTGACTCCAGTTGGCACGCCAAGAGATTACAGGCATCAAGTTTCACCTCACAAATCGTAATAGCCATAAGGACTGTATTTAATGAAGTGAATCCCACCTCAAAAGAATGAGACTGCTTTTGCTATATTATTATGATAATCAACAGTTAAGTTGGCATTTGCCAGCCGTAACCACAGATGTCATCTTTGAAGTGTGAGAAAAACAGCACTAATGTCAAATACCACAGTGTGGGAACACTTGGCATACACCACCAGCTTAAGAAAATCAAGAATTTGGCTATGCTCCTGGAAGATACTGTGGTTGAAGTGACATAAATATATAATTAGGAGAATCCATACATCAACAGGAACTGCACCCACTTTAATGTTAAAGTGATGGGGAAAGCACAACATTTTTCATTGTTCTTCACTTCTTCTGACATAGAGGTATCTGAGGCAAACACATATCTGACTTTGATTTTAAGAAGACTCCTGGGAGGGTATCCTTTAGATTTCAACTCCATGTGTACAATAAGCAGAGCCTGCACAGCAATGCCTTTGAGCCATGAACCACCATTAAATCACTGTCCAGTAGTAGTGTTCATATTTGGCTAGTGTATGTCTTGCTCAGTTCCAGTACAGTAAGTTCAATAGGCTTGGAGCTGAACTGCAGTACAGCCATTAATCAAAAACCCTATAAAATTGAGTTCCAGGAATTTATAAATATATAATACAAATATGAGCTGTGGGATTTTTTCTGTAAACACTCCATCTCAGAAATGCTTCATGTCTCCCCAAGCACCATAACTTCACCAGCTAGCATAGATAGTTCTAGCTCTTAATTTCTATGTACAACAGCGTTGTCTTGCTTTGTATCCCTGCTTTTCAGTTCACAGTCATTGTGAAGGGGAGAGAGCAAGAGGACATCTCACCACCACAGAAGCCTACCTGTTTTTTTTCATTGGACAAACAGGGCATGACCTTGTAAGTCAAGGACCAACATCCTGTGTTTTTTCTGGAATAAGGGAACAGGACTGAATCTTCCCACCCACTTGCCAGCAGCCATGAAATATCAGTTCAGTGCAACTCCAAAGTCCTTAGGAATCTCTCCATTAACTTTATTTGGATTGATCTATGGGGTACTAATAATTTAACTTTAAGACTGGACAGAAAATAAAGCACTATTTTGCTTTTTCTAAAGGAATGTTCTCTCTGTTTTATGCTTTCCTTTTATATGAAAACTTCCTTTGCTCTTCTTCACTGCCATTCTACTTTAAATACCCCATTTTTATCTGTCTTAGACAGAAATCTGAAACTGGAAAGTGTCCCCTTTGTTTCTATCTCCTACTGAGACCACTTGACTAGACCTTGCAAAGTGTTGATAAGCGATCCTTTTGGAGAGGAGGAGTTGAAAATGGAGATCACTCTCTTGGCCTTTCAGGAGTAACGTGAAAGACTTTCCCAGTGAACTGATTTGCTTACATATACTTTGAAATGTTACGTTTTGTCTTCTCTTAGGCCAGACTATGTTGTGATGGCATAAATACATGCTGGTCTCTGAAAAAGTTCTGTAAAGTAGAGTTACTTGAGTTTTCTTATGGATGTTTTTTATTGTTTTTATTTTATTATTTTATTTTATTTTATTTTATTTTATTTTATTTTATTTTATTTTATTTTATTTTATTTTATTTTATTTTATTTTATTTTATTTTATTTTATTTTATTTTTACTTCTAGTTTGTCATAAGACCATGCCTCAGTAATTTATAAACCACTTAAAACATTCATTGTAGACTAAGTAAATGGAAGTAATGTTTAATTGTTCATTTTTTAGTGGTGATGCAGAATGTAATACTGCATATGCAGTTTACAAGGCTCCACCACTAGCATTTGGACTCCATTTTAAACTTATAAATCAAGTGCTAAGTATAGTGCTTGTTTGTATCTGTGAAATATTTCCTTCTCGTTTGTTCTTATCAACCTCTAGTAATGATATATACATATGTCATGTAAGACAGTAAATATGCAGAAGTTCCAAGGAAAATTTCAGTGCCATATCTCTGCTGATTAATGTTTGAAACTAGCATAAAAGCTAGAACAAAGATAACCTTTAGCATAGTCTAGAGGAATGAACACAGCAGATAAATACTCTCCTATGGAAAGTGCAACAGCAGAACTGATATGCCACCCAGACTCCATTTCGAGGATTACAGACACTTGTGTTCTCCTCTAGCCTTGTTTGTTCATTCCAAGGTGTATTTAGTTCAGTCTGGTAGGCGGGAAATTACATTTTTTGTCTTCATTTTACTGCCAGCTGTAAGCTAAACCATGCTTCTTGAAGGCTGTAGCAATGAATTCATTAAATATTGGAATCTAGGGTCACTGTGCTCGTCTGTCACTGTAAGTCCATGACTCTATTTTCTGCAGTTGTGCTCTGTGGACAAAGAGCCTTTCCTACATGATGCAACTGTGAGAATTAACAGCTGAGGATTTGCACAGTGCTGTGGACACTAGCACTACTAAAGCAAGAAGAAATGGAGAAGGACCATAATTGTATACCTGAGGGTAAAAGCGTGAACACTGCAATTCAGTGTAAGAACACAATCATAGAATGGTTTGGGCTGGAAGGAACCCTTAAGGATCATCTAATTCCAACCCCCCTGACAAGGGCAGGGACACCTTCCACTAGAGCAGGTTGCTCAAAGTGCCATCCAACTTGGCTTTAAACACTTCAGGGAGGTGCAGCTACAATTTCTCTGGACAACATGTTCCAGTGCCTCACCAAACTCTGAGTAAAGAATTTCTTCCTTATATCTAATCTAAATCTACCCTTTTTTAGTTTAAAGCCATTACCCCTTGTCCTATCACTATGCCCCCTGATAAAGAGTCTCTCTCAAGCTTTTCTGTAGGCCCCCTTTAGATACTGGAAGGCTGCTATAAGGTGTCCCCAGAACGTTCTCTTTTCCAGGCTGAACAAGCACAAGTCTCTCAGCCTATCTTCATAGGAGAGGTGCTCCAGCCTTCTGATTAACCTTGTGGCCCTCCTCTGGATTTGCTCCACCATGTCCATTTCCTTCCTGTGCTGGAGGTCCTGAAGCTGAACACAGTACTCCAGGTGGGGGTCTTAAGAGAACAGTGTAGAGGGTTAGAATCATTTCTCTTGACCTGGTGATCACTTTTTAAAAATTATTTTATTTTTTATGCAGATCATAGTATAGAGGAAAGATATTAACAAACTGTCTAGCAACCTCATGTTACTGTTTCAGTGAAATTCTGTTACTAACATATACAGGTTAAAGACTACAAACCAGACTTATGTTTGTGTTTCTAAGTGGCTATTTCATAAGGAAATAATAAAATATGAGCCAAGACAGCATCACCAGGATAAATGTTTTCAGAAAGCCCTCAATACAGCAGACATTCTAGTAAAGACCATTTGCCTTTTAATTGTCACAGCGAGCTAAGGGACAGACTTAGGTGCCCATAAACTAGTGTCTTGTGATTTGACATGCCCAAGGGGATTCAGTGTAGCTTCCAATAAGGCACATTGCCCTGGAAAAGCATGGGTCTTTGATAAACCGGAACTAGATTTGTATGGATGTTTCAGGCATTTCAAATATCTCTTAGATACTAACACAAGTTAACTTCTCCCTGACAGTATATGAAAATGAATCCTAATGAGATTGTATCTAGCAGCATATATCCAGTATTCTTGCTTTATGGTCCAGTGATATTTGTTATATAGCATTGACCAGCTACTATGCATGAGAGAAGTCATAGTTCATTTAGACCAGATCTTGTTTGTCATGTAAGCTTCCTGCATTGAGAAGGTGCTCAATTTGCCAGAAAAAAAAAAAAAGATATTTGACCCTCTTACATTACAATGTAGCAAGATCAGCCCTGCTTGGTTAAAGGATGAGGTAGGCACAGGATGTCCTTTCAACAACTAGGGATGCTACAGCATAGCAACAGATTGCTTAGAAAATGTCTAAAGTTTTCATCACCAAAAGCCATCGAGAACAAGATAGATGAGTAGATATTTATATACAGAGAGCAAGAGTCTGGGAGCAAGAGTTTGGTCATCTCCTCATGCCCATTTATGAGGCTATATGATTTTCTTGTCTGAATCTTTCTACTTTTGAAAACTCTAGGACTACCGCAGAAGGAGAGAGAAGTGTGTCTCATGTATAAGAATGTTTGCAAATTTGGGTTGATGGACAACACAATTTGCACGGAGATGTTGTGAGATGTTATTTCAAGTTATGCAAAATATCTATTGCTTTTGTAAACTCACAGGGAAGCAAAATATAATGGGAGAAAAACAAACAGACAAAAAATAACAGATTGCACCCTGCCATGCACTGAAGAGAGAGATGGAATATAAAGTTTAATTTTGTGGTTTCAAACTGCATTTTTAGTAAAACAATGGACAAAAATATTAGGCTGCTTTAGTCTGTAAGTTGTACCCTGATCTACAAACTTAATGATATAATGTGTCCTTGTGCATGTTTATTGAACTAGGCTACCAAGACTGTGAAGGAATGCTACCAATGGCTCTTGTGATACCCTTGCAGGCCTCAGCCTTAAGACAAAGGTAAGCAGAATGCTGGGAAAGATTTGTTCACAGTGTGTAGCACTAACTGGATATTGTACTAAGTATGCTTTGCCAAGACACACTGGGGAAAAACAGTTCAGCATTTACATATTTATGTGCCATGGTGTGAGAAAACCATAAAATATTGTACTAATTCTGTGCCCATGCTGTGTAGGGGCAGAACTCCAGGTTTGTCAGCCTGTGAGAGAATAGATTTGGCCCTGAATCTGTCTTGCTAAAATAGTTATTGAGATCTGGTAACCAAAATATATAACAATGGTTTCAGAATCTCCATGAATTGTGTGCAACTGTGTGTAATTGTAATCATCAAAAATATTCTTTGTTTTCATATCACCTCAGTAGATCTGCTGAATTCTCTGCAGCCTCTATACATACAGTGCCATAAAATGCAAATGCTTTTGTCTTGGAAAATAACCAACAAGGAGCATACTGTGATAGTGGGTGTGGACGTAGATACCAGCCAAGAATATTTTAGGCTGGGTTTATAAGGAAGAGTGAAGTATCTTTTATGTCTCCATAAGATACATTACATCTTAAGAACAACAAAAGTCAAGTAAGAATTCCAAACACACTTCAAACTTAATAACAAACTGAGGTCATCTTGCAAAGGTAAAATGAGCCTTAACCATGTTTTAAGAGTAGTCATGGGTAACAATTCTATCTGTAAGTATCCAATCCTTGAAGAAAACTAGCTAGCCCTCAACTAGAAGTCTAGCACATAGCAGGTGTTGAAAATGGAAATGTAATTTCCCAGCTAGGCAGACATCCAATATTTATGAGCCAAGTCTGTGGAAATAACTGAATCTGCTGATAGGGACAGAATAATTTAGCAGAAAATCAAGTAACTTTTCCACTTCAGGAAAAACCGTCATTCACCTTTTATCTTATCGTATTCCTACCACAGCCAAAATGTATTGTCAGCTGCTGAAGCAATCGTATAAGATACTAATATAAAAATGTAAGAATCATCACAAATATAGTTATTTACAGTTATTTACTTAATTAGTTGTCTGACAGAGATAAGTGATGAATGGACAAGAAAGAGTGAGAGAGAGAGAGAGAAAGAGAAAGAGAAAAAGAAAAAGAAGAAGAAAAAAAAAGAAGAAGAGGAAGAAGAAGAATAAGAAAGAGAAAGAACAAGAACAAGAACAAGAACAAGAAAGAGAAAAAGAAAAAGAAAAAGAAAAAGAAAAAGAAAAAGAAAAGAAAAGAAAAAGAAAAAGAAAAAGAAAAGAAAAGAAAAGAAAAGGAAAAGAAAAGAAAAGAAAAGAAAAAGAAAAAGAAAAAGAAAAAGAAAAAGAAAAGAAAAAGAAAAGAAAAGGAAAAGGAAAAGGAAAAGGAAAAGGAAAAGGAAAAGGAAAAGGAAAAGGAAAAGGAAAAGGAAAAGGAAAAGGAAAAGGAAAAGGAAAAGGAAAAGGAAAAGGAAAAGAAAAAGAAAAAGAAAACACAGATTCCTGAGAGGGAAAATAGTCCACTAACTTGCAGCAGTACCTCTATAACTTCCTATGTAGTGTTTTGGATCTGGATTAAATGTAGATTAGAGTTGATTTTTTTTTTCTGGTTTGACAATGTGTCAATCATGTCAGATATTTTTTGAAATTTCTACCAAGTTGGGTAGAAATCTTTCGTCAAAAACAGATGTTGCTATGAGATTTCTGAAGCAGTGAAATATAGCCCTTGCATTTTTGGATCTAAGTCAGAACAGAACTACAGAACTAGAATGGCTCTGGAGAAACAAATCTTGCACACTTCCTGCCCAGCCGAAATCTGAAGATGCCTTGGTTTTCTCTGTGACTGTTAGTGAAATAATTGATAATTGCCAGACAGACAGATCTGTTCCTGTCAACACTCCTAACTCAAAAGTCAACTCCCAAATTTGCTTGAGAATTTCCTGTCTCCTTCTGATAAGGCTCCTGTCTCATTTTGGCAGACTACCTATATCAAACTGCCAAACTATGCATAACAACACTTTTCATGGGTGTTTGCACAAATTCAGATAATCCTGACACCCCCCATACATAGCCCAAATCTCAATGGATCAATGGAGAATTAAAATGTGGAGAAATGAATGATCAAGTCCTAAAAAGGAATAGATTCAGTATATTTCCCATATTTCTTTATCTTTTCATTTGAAACTCACTCTGTTAGAAGACTAGTAAGGAGACTAGAGTCTAGCTAAATTGTCAGAACAATAGAGCATAAGTAGGATCAGTGTGCTGGATGTGCCCATCACTGGCTCTGTGTAAAATGTGAGCATCGACCTTTTAGAACTGGTTTCAAATGGATTATGATATCCCTGCACCCACCCAAGTATATTTGTTATTCAAACAGGCATGCCAAATAACTGACTAATAATTGCCTTCTTGAGTTGGAACTCATTCCAGGACAGTTTTTTTTGTTAGCATTTGGTCAGAGTCACAGCAAAACTCTTTGGAGCCTGTTTTGGCAACCCTCTGCCCTCAATTCCCTCTTCTTTTGCTCTTTCCAGCTACTGCCAGCAAAGACTCCTGCTTGCTGCATCCTCAGATATTGGCAGGCCCTCCTCTTGGAGAAGTGCAACAGATCTGGCATGTGTCCTGTTTGGTGTGTCTCTGAATTGACATCTCTACTCACCCTATTCCTTGTGTTGGCATCATAACTAATGTTCAAATGTCAGACTACACCGATAGATGCATCATTCACCCAAGGAATGGGTTTGCTCCATTCCACCCTACAGACACCCCACTTTCAAGAAGTCCCCATGCAGATACTCATTTTTACAAACGTGCAACAGTAGCTCTCTGGAATCAAAGTAAAAAATTCCTCTAAAATTATCACCTCTCACCTGAAATTACACAGGGCAATATAAATGACATTTTTATATCTAAGAACCAAAATCATAGAATGTCTTGTGTGGGAAGAGACTTTAAAAATTATCTAGTTTCAAACCCCACTGCCATTGGCAGGGATGCCACCCACTAGATCAGGTTGCCCAAGGCCTCATCCAACCTGGTCTTGAATACCTCCAGGGACAGGGCATCCACAGCCTCTCTGGGTAACCCGTTCCAGTGCTTCACCACCCTCTGAGTAAAGAATTTCCTCCTAACCTTTAATCTAAAACTCCCTTTTTTTTAGTTTAAAACTATTCCCCCTTGTCCTGTTGTTAGCTGACTGATCAAAAAATTTGCTCTCCATCTTTTTTGTAAACCTTCTATAAGTATTGAAAAGCTGCAACGAGGCCACCCCAGGGTCTTCTCTTATTTAGGCTAAACAGCCCCAGCTCCCTCAGCCTTTCTTCATAGGAGAGGTGCTCCAGCACTATGGTCAACTTAATGGCCCTTCTCTGAACCCATTCTAAAAGACCCACATCCTTCTTGTGTTGGGGGCCCCACACCTGGACACAGTACTCTGAGTGGGGCCTCACAAGTGCAGGACAGGGTGGACAATCACCTCCCTCGACCTACTGGCCACTTGTCTGTTGATGCAGCCCAGGATGCAGTTGGTCTTCTGGGCTGCAAGCATGTACTGCTGGCTAAAGCCAAAATGACAATTATGTCAATGAGTCAGCAAAAATTGTAGTCATAGAATTACAGAATGTTTGAGGTTGGATAATACCACTCGAGGTCACCCACTCCAGGCCCTCTGCTCAAGCAGAGCTACCTAGGACCATGTCTAGACAGGTTTTGAATTTTTCCAAGGTGGGAGACTCCACAATGTCTCTGGGTAACCTGTTCCAGTGCTTGGTCACCATTACAGTAAAAAGTGTTTCTTGATTTTCACAGGAAATCTCTTATGTCTCAGTTGATTGCCAATTGCCTTTTGCCTATTGGTGCATGGATTTTAAGAGATGGAGGACAGAGAGATCTTTGTAATTGACACATAACAGACAAGATTCATTCCAACTGAAATTATTTGAAAGTTTTCTGTTCAAGTGGATGAGTCATTTTATATCCCAAGATCTGAGTATATAGAAAATGAAAATAAATAAATAAATAAATAATGAAAAGAAAGTAACTTACCCCAAAGGTTACAAGAAACAAAAATGAAAAATAAAATAAATGAATGAATGACAGAAGGGCCTATTAGGTAAAAACAAAAACAAAAACAAACATATTTTTAGAAATGTGTGTAGCAATAAAAATTAAGCAATGGAAGAGAACTTCAGCAATGTATTGATTATGCATTTGTATTATGCAATGCTTTAAAGCATTTGTTCAAACTTTTCATACTGAAAGGGTTGTGAGGCATTGGAACAGGCTGCCCAGGGAGGTGGTGGAGTCACCATCCCTGGAAGTCTTCAAAAGACGTTTAGATGTAGAGCTTAGGGATATGGTTTAGTGGGGACTGTTAGTGTTAGGTTAGAGGTTGGACTCGATGATCTTGAGGTCTCTTCCAACCTAGAAATTCTGTGATTCTGTGATTCTGTGATTCATCCACTTTTATGGGATACTTACCTGGTCTTTGGTAGATAAAGTCTTATGGCAAGATCTCATACTATAATATATGATACAATGTGCTTTCTTTCAGGTACTTCATTTTTATTTGGGATGTATACAACTGGGAGAAAATACATACCCATACCCAAAGGAAAGGATCGCATTTTTCAGATGCACTCCCTTGTACAACTGTGTGAGAAGAGGAATTTACAACCTAGTGGCTGTGGACTAGTGCAAGTTTCTGCTTTTTTGCCAGGGAAAGAGCCTGAGAGCTTTGATCCCTGTTTTCTCCAACAGCATGTTTATGAACTCTCAGGGTCTCCTAATATCTCTAACATAATTGTAGTAATCAAAAAGTCAGATATATTAGCACAAATAGAGTTATTTTTCAGTACCAGGACTTAGAAAAATGCCCAGCACTGTTATAAACCTTTGATTTCAGTAGTTTTACGAATGCAGTATATAAGACGGAGCTGAACAGAGTATGAACGGAGCTATCTGCACTGAAAATCTTGGTCTAGAATTTGATGAAGTGCTTCCAGTACGTGATATATTTAAAAGAAAGAAACAAGAAACAGAGATGAACAAACACACACACACACACACAAAAAGAAAAGATTGACCCTGTTTCTGAACTAGAGGAAAAGCAATATTTGAATTATTTTGGAGCAAATAATTTGGAGCCAATTTTGGAGCAGAAAGCATAACAGAATGAAAAGATAGTTGCTTTTCCAGAAGTGCACACCTCAGAGGCAGTCTGGACTGATCACCATTGTTAAAATATATATCTGTAATCACAGAATAAACATAAAAATATTCAGTGGAACAGAAATACTCTTTAGTAATATATGAATTGCTCTTCCTTGCAACTTCTCCTGTACCTTTTTACACTGTTTTATTAAGTAAAAAAAATAAAAATAAAAGCATGATCACATTGTCTGCTAATCTCTACCAGTAATTTCTAAATCTGCAAGTCTATTTTAACCAAATCTGCAAGAGGTACATAATTTTTAAAAATATTAAGTTCCTATAAGTTTCATAAGTGGCAGAAGAAGACACTCATGTTATTATCTCTCTCATAAAGAACAAAATGTTGTAAGTTCAGTAGCTTCTTATCCTCTATTATCATACACAGAGCTCAAATAACAAAAATACATGCTGTGTCTTTCTAAGCTAGTAGACAGAGAAAAGGAAAAGAGATAAGAAGCTGTGTAGGTGTTTAAAGGACAGGGAGGTGAGCGCAGGAGAGCTAGAGGAAGCAGAGGTATTGCAGAATGGAAGGAATGCTCTCAGAAGGACTACAAGCACAGGGCACAAGTTCATAAGAAAATGGGTTTCATTCATGTAGCTGACATCGAGGCGCTTGTTTTGGTTTAGTCTTTGTTACTTGGAAAATAGTTTCTGTTAAACTCAAAACGAAACACTCATGTCAGGACTGGATTATATGCAGTTGGACTTGCTGGTAAATCCACAGCTCACTTTAAATTCACATTGTAGGCTTTACAATACAGCTATCTCTTTGCATGTAAAAGAATGTTTACTCTATGAGAACAAAATATTGCCAAGAACAAGTTTAAAGGAAAACTATTACAGTCTTGACTGTGGATAACTTATGTTAATTCTGTAGCAAAGACATAACCATTATACTAAATTTGTCTAAAGGAGGAGGCAAGACAGCAAGGCTCAGAGTTACTAAAAGACTTTCATAAAGTGGGAAGGCAAGTAAACAGAACACTTTAATCAACATATAGACAGTGCTTGATGAAATATTCATGTTTTGTATGATAAATAACATACTCATTTGCTCAGTCTAGTATCAAAATTGGTTAGGAGCCATGAAGTTCTACCGGCTTTCAAGCTATTGAATAACACCAGTTTCACATATTCAGAGTACAGATTTAAATATAATTTAATTGAGGAAAGCTGAAGTATAAGACGTGTCCTGAGGGGTGTCTTTCCCTATAATTGTTTAGGATTACTTTGCAAAGGTTGTTTCATTGTCAGCATTGGATTTAGTAGTGAGACATAATTAAATTTTCTACTTCTGTAATACAGTGGGACTCTGAATTTGAAACCTAGTAAGCCTCTTCCCCTTCTAGACAAGGAGGTGTCTGCATGCATAAAAACTTCTACCTGCTTGCATTCTTATAAGAACTATAAAATTAGGCACATAAATGAAATATGAAAATGGTTAAGCATCTAATAAAGATGGGAGCATGTGAAGGAATTCCATCTGCTAAAAAACATGATTATAATTATGGAGTTTCTCTCTTTAAAATTTGTTTCTGCCAGGAAATAAAGGAAGTTATAAGTGAGCTAAAGAAAAAAATAATGATTAGAAACACCCATTCCCTAAAGAAGTAATTGTGAAAGAGGTATTTTTTATATTCATTCTTAGAACTGTACTTTTAAGATTTCTGCTACAAGTTGTGTCATTGCACCAGTGTGCTGTTAGTATGAACAATTCATCTCACTACAATGTTCATAGCCTTTCCCTATAAATAAATAAATAAATAAATAAATAAAATGAAAAGGGGGTGAGGTTAAACAGTTAAAGTCCAGTTTAATTGAAAGCAACTCTGAAAGGGCTGAAATTGACAGACGGTTGCTTTGGTTTTGTTCTTTTACTTTATACTGAAATGGCATCACTCATTCCAGACATAGTTAAATCTATCAGAAACAAGCTGAATTTCTTGAAAAAGCACAAAAGAACCTTAATGTGTTGGAGGGGAAAAATAATTCTAGCAGTGCCAACAAGGAGGGAAATACTAATGGAAATCAGCAATTAGATTTTTTATCACCAGATTAGCTTCACTTCTTCTTAATATGGTGAAATGACACAGTAGCGATACTACTGATGCTTGTATCACCTACAGCACTCTTCAATACAAGAGCAGTCAGAGGGAGGAATTTTCCATCCTCTCTTTCCACTTCATCCCATCACCAAATAAAACAGCATAGGTGACATTCATAAGATACGAGTTTATGATTCTGGTTTTGAAAAGCTCAGTGACTCTTCTCCACAAGTAGAGGCAAATACAGCAGAGATTCTACCTGCAGCAATACAGCCACTCAGTGTTGCAGTGAGGTGGTGTGGTTTAGCTTCCTTCTCTAAAATCTAATTGTCTCAGAAAACAGTCTCAGAACTACGCACTAAAGGTTAAGTTTTGGTAGACAGCTGTTTTCAGTAATTCAAGAAATAGAAATGGATGAAATTTCCTTATTGTGCTTATGTAAAACAATGGTTCTGTACAATTAAATTACATACTCCAGCAGATATTTATGATTTGGCAATACTTTTTCTCATTTTCACCATCAAACCTGAAATAGTAACAATAGATATTTCAGTCCATGTGATTTGTATCATATGAAATATTTAGTTTCAATTTTCGTAACAAAATGAAGTTACTTTATTTTCCTAACCTCAGTAACAAATCACATAGCTATTTTCTGTGTACAGCATTCTATTTCACCAATGTTATACCCAGACACAGTTCTTCCTTGTGGACTGAGTCCCCAAAGGATAACATCTCCAACAGCTGCTGTATTAACATCCCTCAGTGATGTTAATCACTGATGCTGAATCATGACTCTAGGCCGACGTGGTGCACTATTGGAGACGTAGTTCTGAACTCCAAGGCAGCCATTCTTTTTCTGTGCCTCTAAAACAGTTTAGAAAGTACTGGTCTTAACCAATAAAAGCTAGGTACAATTTCTGTCTTTCTGAAAGAAGAAAGTAGAGGTCCCTTTTCACTGAATTCCTTCCTCATTATGAGTTCTGAGAAGAAAGTAGAGGTCCCTTTTCACTGAATTCCTTCCTCACTCTGAGTTCTGCCTAACCACCATCAACACACGAAGTATTGTAGCAAGAAGAAAAGAGTATACATAGAGTCCCAAGAACAGAAAGAAGATGAGTAAGGAAACAGAGATGCTAGAAGTCCCCAAATAGCTTAACCTTTCCTGCTGTCAAGCAGCAGAGATTCAAGCAAGATTTATTTTATTTATTTATTTATTTATTTTTTTCAAAAGCTAAGGAATGCTACTGAAGAAGAATATGAGCAGCAATAATTATACCTTTTATGTCTTGGGGACTTGGTTAGAGGCCCTTAATGGCCTGAAGAGGAACAGCAAAGCAGTTACCAGACTGATAAAGAATGAAGGACAGTTTTGAAAGTGTCAACATCATAGAAAGAATAAAAAAGGAGAAAAAACTTTTTTTTTTTTAATACAACGTGTTTAAAACTTCTTCAATCAAACGAGCAATTTCAAGGGATCTTTTGGACCCTATCTGTTCAGTGAAAAAAAATAATGTTATAAACTCCTCATATATATTTATGAAGCAAAACAAAACAAGCAAACAACAACAAACAACAACAATTGAAAAATTGCTAGGCTGCAGACTAGAAACAAACAAACAAACAAACAACAAAACTGCATGTTTTTTAGGAAAAGCAAAAGTAGGCCACAGCTGACTGCCTGGTTTACCAAACCAAAAACCCATCAAAACAGAAAGACACAGGATAAAATTGAGGACTACAAGCAAAAATAGACAAAAGGCAATCAGAGCCAACTTGTAAAATCAGTATAGAAGATTGCATTATACATGGAAAAAGTATCAGAAAAATCAGAAAAAAAAAAGTAATGTTTTGCAACTAAGAAATTTTGTAAAGAATGGTTGCGCAAAAAAAATATGGCAAAACAGGCCTGATGATATTTATCAAGAAACTCAGTGTGTGTGCATTCTGCATGGCTGAAAATTAAAAGAATTATTGGTTGGAGCTGTTGAAAAGCTTTTTATATATATTAGCTGGAACATCACATTGAATCCACATTAAAAAATTTCTGATAGAAATTGTGCTTCTGTGTGAAAGTTAAAATGAAGCTTGCAATGATGAGAAAGCATTTAAAAAGACATCTAGGAGTGCTATATGACAGATGGTGTTTTATTGCAAGTTTGTCCCTAAATTTAAGGTAAGAATGACTAGATTGTTCCCTCCCTTTCCTTCCTTCCTTCCTTCAAATGGAATTCACAAGCTCAGATCCATGATCCAAGATTACCAAAGGCTGTTTATTTAGGGGGGAAGTTATATTTTGGGGGGTCTGTATTACCGGTCTTAGTATGTGAAGAGAATATTACTTGCTAAAATGTCATTCAATGGAGAGTTTAAAACAAGAATACCCGTTTAAGTAACTATAAGATTAAAACCAAAAGCTTTAAAAATTCTTAAAATTATCATGCAAAAATCAAAGAGAAAATCTGCGTAGGTAAAGGTAGCGAGATCTGCAGTGTTGCTATATGTGCAGTCAATACACACATACATATACACATGTACAAATATGTGTGTAATACTTACAATATATATAATGCGTAAGTAATTTCTAATATTGAAAGCAGAGTGGATCACACACCATCCAGAGCCAAATGAGAACTATGAAGGGATTTTTGTCTGCTGATTTTACACTCAAAAGAAGATTTACAGGTGCTATATCTCCATTTCAAATTGCTGTAAGAACAAGGCCTGAATCATCCATAAATAAATTCTAACTAGTATTATATAAAAAGGTTATGACAGAATGACATTATGATAGAATTTAACAGGAAGCCAGAATGCCATGTTAAATATAGTGTAGGAAAGACCAAGGCAGAGAATTTCCTTTGGTACTAGAGGTAAAACTTCAAACTGATTTCTTTTCAGTTTCTGAGAATGGATGAATGCCAGTTCTGAGAACTGGCAAAGATGGGCTGGTGTGGAACAAACTTGACACTTGCCCCTTTTAATACTAATCTTTTGATCTTTCCAGATGGCAGAGTTTACTTCTCTTCCCATCTGCTCCTTTTCAGTATGAACAAGAAAGGAAAAAAGGAAATTGCTAAAACATTTCATGACT